TCTTCAGGGTTTATCCACAGTCCATCCGGTCTCTTTTCAGCTCCTTTTTCACTCCACATCGCCTTTTCTTCTGGAGCTGCACCTTGTTGACAACAGGCGATGGATTCGTCATCCCATCTGATTCTTTCCCCTTCTTCTTCTGGGGTTATCAGCACCATCTGACTCCAGTTGATAAATCCTGAGGCCCTCTTTGCCTCCAAATCAGCTTTACAATTTCCTTTAGCTATGCTTGAGCAATCAGTATCATGACCTCGACATTTCACAATGGCAATTTCTGTTGGTAACATCAGAGCTGTTTCTAATTCTTTCATATCTGCCTCGTGTTTGATCGGTTTCCCGTTAGCTGTACGAAAACCTCCCCTCTTCCACTGGGACAGCTCCACGTGAGCTGCTCCAAACGCATACGCTGAGTCTGTGAAGATAGTCACTTTTCTGCTGTCCGCCCAAGTAAGTGCTGAAATCAGAGCCCTCACCTCAGCTCTCTGTGCTGACTGAGGCCCCTGCAATTTCTCACACACTACAGTTTGATAACCCTGGTCTGTTTCCAGCACGACCGCAAAGCCTGCACTGAGTTGTCCCTCCTGCGTTCGAAAACAACTCCCATCACAAAACAGCACCTGTCCCACACCAAGAGGTGCGGCCTTTAAGTCTGGTCTGACCCTGTCATCAGTTTCCACTCTCCTCTCACAGATGTGTGGTTCACCTCCTCCAATTCTGTCTGCCATGTTTATCCCCTCATGTGTGAATAACAAGTTTGGTGCTTCCAGAATCTTGTTTATCCTCTGTTGTCTTAACGGTGACATAGTGAAGTTATGTGAATTTACAAAAGCAACCACACTGTGTGATGTCATCACATGTAGAGTGTGGCCCATCACCAGGTGGGCTGTCTTTTGTACTAACTTAGCCACTCCTGCAGCATGCTGTGTGCAGGGCGGATGTCTCTTTTCTGTGTTGTCTAACAGACAGCTGAGATACATCAAAACTTTCCTACCCCCCTCATGTTTCTGAAACAGAACACCGTTAATCACCCCTTCTGTTTCAGAAACATCCAAATGGAAGGGCCGGCTGTAATCCGGCAAAGCTAAATCTGTAGCCCTGCTCATCTGTTGTTTCACCTCAATGAAGACCCTCTCAGCTTCTTCATTCCACACCAGCCTGGCAGTGGGTCGTCTCATGCCCTGTTCTTTGACCAAATCGCGCAACATTTGGGTCTGGCCTGCATAATTTGGAATGTAATTTCTGCTGTACCCGGTCAATCCTAAAAATGAGAGCATTTCTTTAACTGTCTGCGGTTTTGGATGATGTAAAATTGTGTCACGGTGTGCAGCAGAGAGTCCTGCTCCTTTCTGTGAGATCATCCTCCCCAAAAAGGACACCTGACGTCTCGTCATCTGTAGTTTGTTTTTACTGACCTTAAAACCTGCTGCATGCAGGTGTTCTAAAACTTTCCTGGTCGCTTCTAATGAGTCTTGCGCCGTGGGACTCGCAATCAGCAAATCATCAACATATTGCACCAGTACCGTCCCTTCTGGGAGCGTTACTTCACGCAAAACTTGTTTCAACACTTGGTTAAAGATGCCAGGTGACAGCGCAAAGCCTTGAGGTAGTCTTGTGTATCGCAACTGTTCACCACGAAAGGTGAATGAAAAAATATCCCTGCAGTCTTCGGCTAGAGGAAGACAGAAAAACGCGTTTGCCAAATCAAGACAACTAAACCATTCATGATCAGGTGTTAGATTATTCAACGCTACATATGGATTTGGTACCGGTACGGTCTGAGTGATCAATAATTTATTGATGGCTCTCAGATCGTGTGCCATCCGGTATTTGTCTGTACCTGCTTTTTGTACAGGTAAAATGGGTGTGTTCCACTCTGCGTAGGAGGGTTCAAGGACGCCGCTTTCCTTTAAACCCTGAATTGTTTCAGCGATGCCCGCTTCTGCTGCTGGTTTGTGAGGATACTGTGAAATCCAAATTGGGTATGTGTGATGCACCTGGAACGTTATGGGAGGGCAGTTTATCAGTCCCACGTCCGTGGGTCCCTCAGACCATAATGACCCAGGCATGCTATTAATTAAAGGACCTGCATGCGGGTGGTCCATCAGTTCGCGACCGTGTTCTCTGGGGAGCACATCATGCTGCATCACAGCAACATCATGTGCCACAGAGACGATTGAATAACACTCACAGCTGGGGGAATACCAGACGGATGTTAAAGATGTTTCAACCCAATCTGAGGTCTCTAATGCCCTTTTAACCATAGGTCCTAAGTCCCTTGCTTGAAATGCTGGATTCAAAGCTAGTGAAATATGAGGCGCTGCCTCAGCCCCCATCTTATACCACTCCTTCTGTTCAGGTGTTAAGTTAACACTAGCTGCTACTCCCTCCTTGCCAACAATAATATTCCCACTTTCAATGGGCCAGACTTTCTCTGACAGTTGTTCTGCAAAGTGGTCCTGGTACACCTCATCGCCTTTGCGATGTAAAATGTTACAAGTGTTGCTGGTCTTCATGGAGATGATGCACATCTGAGTAAAACACCACTTCAGTTCAGGGATCCATCCGAGTGCACGCTGGTGAAAATGACAAAACTCAACAGAGAAGTGCACTAAGTTTTATAACCTTTGCGGTCCAACGACTCAAAGACAAATATAAACTTGTTTTCATAACTTTTAATGTCATGATTTGTACAAAATGCAAAAATACTTTCATTTGTCAGATAAACGTCAGAGAACATCCTGCATGTACATGGAGTGAAACAAGTGCTAATGATGCACAGCTCTCAGCCATCACAGCTGATTCCCTCATCACAAGAGACTGCTTGTGTTCCAGCCACAGCTTCATCACACATCTACACCCAGGAGAAGCTGAAGCTGCACTGCATCACGTCGCTCTTTTTGTACACAGATGACTTGTTCATTTATCCCAGACCGAGTCAAATCTGATGTGTGCAGAAGGTTTCGAGGAAAAAAGTACCAGGACACCCAAGTTCTGCGTGTAGTAATATGTGATTAAATGAGTAATCAGAGCACCAAATGCTTGTTTGGACGTCAGCGGTTCAGTTAAAGAGCCTGTGTCGATGTATTAAGCAGTAAAAGGTGAGGCATGCCATGTACAGGGTCCACACTGACAGGACCCCCTGCGAGGCCACAGTCCTGATGCAGCCCAGTCCAGTTCAACACGCTCCTTAATTTAAGAAAACAAAACCAGTCTTCAGTTTATTCAGTCCAGTCCCCAGCGTGCTCAGTGACAGATAACAGAGGAAACAGTGTCTGAAGAAGAACATCTGCAGTATCTGTGGCCAGACACAGAAACCTCACCTTGAACTGAACGGTCAGACTGTTTCAGCTTTACTGCCAACTATTAGAAACAATAATCCATGAAGGTTTCAGTTTCAATGTGCCTATCGATACGGTCCTCATCACAGGCACAACTCAACTTCCAACCACAACTGTCCATCCTGGCAGCACTTGGCCAAGCTTCCTCTCACGGCTGACAGTCATGAGCACCACTCGGTGCTTAACAACAGATTGTATCCGAAGGGTGATCCTTGATGTTCTCCAAAAACTGCATCTGTCCCCTGATCCCACAGTGGGACTACAATTATGACTAATTATTGTTATGTGGCACAAATCAGGTTTGTTTCCATAAAAGTCATTACATTAGCTTACATGTTGAAATACACTTTTTAAGCCCTTTTGCACACAAGCCCCATAAAATAAGTTACTAAAGTGTCTGTCACTAATTTTTTATAATCTTATGCATCAAGATGATTTACTGTAAATGACAACTTTCAAGTGTCCACGTACAGATCTTGTGGTTGACCAGCTTATATTGATTAATAACAGACTGGATTTAACGGTTTGAGAGAAAAATTGCCTGATGAAACTTTAAAGCTTCAAAATAGTCAAAATATTTGCTTTTATTATTTTTAAATGCTTCAGGTATATTAGTTTTATGACAAGTACCATAACACAGGTGCATCTAAAAAAGTTAGAATATTGTGGAGAAAAAAAAAAACATTTCTTCTTAAATCATTTCAGAAAGTGAAACTCAAATTACCGTGTTTTCCAACATATAAGTGACAGTTTTTTTGTATAATTTACATACCCTGTGACTTATACACCAAAGCAACTTTTTTATATATATATTTTTTCCATATTTATAAACCAATTTTTGGTTCAATTTTTCATTCATTCAGACATTTAAAATATTGAACACTACCATTTTTAGCCACTAGATGGCACCAGAGTTGTATAGCATGCCGTTGTGTCATGTAATAGGTAAAAGTGGCTATTAATGACACAATCAGCATGCCATAGCTAGGCCACCTTTGTCCAGCTTTCAATGGAGCTACCGTCAAATCAGCTTCATTTCGCTGCGTCGCCCCTTTGAAATGCAGCTAATTTGACCATTGAAGTGCATTTATTAAGTAAAAGTTCAACTGAGACACACCTTTACTATAATGTCGAGCAAACAAATAATTGTTTTTAGGTGTTTATCTTGTTAAATTCTTGTTAAAGTCGTCCCGTGCATGCTCCCGCAGCCATCATTTGGCAGCCAATCGATTTTTGGCACAACACCGGCCCACATTTCCGGGTTGTCAGTGGTGATGCATAATAGGTGCAACTTATATGGCGAAGTGACATATTTATAGATTTTTTTTTTTCAAATTATTAGACATTTTTGGACAGATGCGACTTATAAGGAGAAAAATACGGTACCTGTAGAGTGAAATATTTCAAGACTTTATTTCTTGTGAAGTTTTGGTTATTCATTATTAGTAATCCATATTCATCAAAATTACAAGAAATAAAGGTTTCAAACATTTCACTATGTAATGAAATAGTTTCACTTTCTGAATGACAAAAAACTGAACGTTTCCATGAGATTTACATTTTCTGAGCTGCACTTGTATGTTTGGTCTGTTCATAAAACACTAATGCACCTGAAGGGTCTAAGAGATACAACTGAAATCTGCAAATCAATTACCACAAGAATCACCACAGACACTTTGGTTGTGTGTCTGCAGCTGGAGGTGTGTCGACATGTGCACCAACGTGATTAGGCTCAAGAGTCTGGGGATCACTGTGCTCTTCAGGTTTCCTTGCACCCTCTTCTTCCAGCATTTCTCCTTCTTCAAAAAAGTCCTGTTGATCCCACAGATCCTGGCCATCACACACTTCGATCCCAGAATCCCCAGTGAAGCGCCGGTACCTGCCTGGCGTCAAGTCTTTGTTGTGGTTGTTAGTGCTGTGAGATTGGATGTGTGTGGCCTCTGGAGTCTCATCGGCTACGTCAGCATCGATGGGGATGGAGACAACCAGGGGGGAGACAGAGGCTTCATCAGTAGGATCTGAGAGTGGAGGTGCTGGCTGGAGAGGGGTGTATGGAGGAGGAGGTGTAGCTGGGCGGTTAACTGCGTCTTCATAGGCCGGCAGGAGGTAGATGGGCAAAAATCCTGGAAAGAACACAGAACAAGCTGTTATAACACTTAGTGAATCCAGGAAGGCGCAGCAAACTACTCACTTATATATTTAGAGAGTACCGTATTTTTCTTTGTATAAATCGCTGTTTGTTGCATAATTTACATGCCCTGCAACTTATAGGCCAAAGCGACATATTTATGGATTTATTCCCATATTTATAAACAACTTTTTGGCTGAGATATGATCTTTTCCATTCATTCTGACTTAAATGTTTTTTGAGCAGTACCACTTTCAGCCACTTGATGGCAGCAGAGCAGTAATAAAATATGGCATGCTGTTGTACCATGTAAAAGGTAAACATGGGCATAATGACAAATTCAAAAAAAGTTCAAGACAAAAACAAATGGCCTTTATTTATTATACTTTATTTTATACTTCACTGTTTTTGTCTTGAACTTTTTTACATTTACCATGTCCTGCATGACAAAGAATCTTCACCAGCTATTAATGACTCAATCGGCCTGCCACAGTCAGTCTGTTCGCTGCTTGGAACCGTCAATACAGCTGCACTGCCCCGGCGAAATGCAGCTAATTTGACCATTAAAGTGCATTTATTAAGCAAATGTTAGACTGAGACACACCTTTGCTATAATTTCGAGCAAAAAAATAATTGTTTGTGTTTATCTTGTTAATTTTTTGTACAACGACTCGTTGCGTGCGCGAGTTTCCTTCCGCGTAACGGCTTTTGAAATGCAGCTGATTTGACCATCAAAGTGCATTTGTTAAGCAAACGTTAGATTGAAACACACATTTAATATAATTTCGAGCAAACAAATAATTGTTTTTTGTTGTTTTTAAGTGTTAAACTTGTTAAATTCTTGTTCAAGTCCTCCTGTGCACGCTCCCGCCGCCGCCATTTGGCAGCCCATCCATTTTTGGCACAACACCGGCCCACATTTCCGGGTTGTCAGCGGTGACGCGTAACAAACGTGACGCATCAGCGGTGACACATAATAGATGCGACGTATACAGCGAAGCAACATATTTATGGATTCTTCCACTTTATTAGACAAATATGGACTGATGTGACTTATAGGGCGGAGCGACAATTATGGCAGAAAATACAGTACTTCCACTAATCAACATTAGTAGCAGAAGTTTTTGCTAACTCTACTCAGCGTACATTAAATCAGCCATTAAGGTACAAACAATCAACATTTGATCATGATCAGAAACAATCTGATGCTCTGTATTTATAAATGTTGCGTTATATGGTTTATGTGAGTCAATAAAAATAATAAAAATATGCAAACCATCAGACAGCTGAGGAGGTGAAAGCAGCACATTACTAACACTGTATTCAGTGATGGTGGGCTGCTGTTGACCTCAACCAGTGATGTCATCGGGAGGTGGAAGGAATACTTCTCGGACCTTCTCAATCCCACCAGCACGTCTTCCATGGAGGAAGCTGAGTCGGGGGACTTTGGGGTTGATCCATCCATAACTGTGGCTGAGGTCACCGAGGTAGTTAAAAAACTCAGAGGCAGCAGGGTTCCGGGAGTGGATGAGATTCACCCTGATTTCCTTAAGACTCTGGATGTTGTGGGGTTGTCTTGGTTGACACGCCTTTGCAACATAGCATGGACATCGGGGGCAGTGCCACTGGATTGGCAGACTGGGGTGGTGGTTCCCCTCTTCAAAAAGGGGGATCGGAGGGTGTGCTCCAATTATAGGGGCATCACTCTCCTCAGTCTCCCTGGTAAGGTCTATTCAGGGGTACTGGAGAAGCGATTCCAATCGTTGGTCGAACCTTGAATCCAGGAAGAACAATGTGGGTTCCATCCTGATCGTGGAACACAGGATCAGCTCTTGCCTTCACTAGGGTCCTTGAGGGGTCATGGGAGTTTGCCCATCCTGTCTACATGTGTTTTGCGGACTTGGAGAAGGCATTTGTTTGTGTTCCTCGGGGTACACAGTGGGGGGGGGGGGGGGCTCTGTGAGTATGGGATTGGTGGCCTGTTGCTACGGGCTGTTTGGTCCCAAGCGGTGCAAGAGCTTGGTTCGCATTGCCGGCAGTAAGTCGGACACCTTCAGGGTGGGAGTTGGACTCCGTCAGGGCTGCCCGTTGTCACCGATTCTGTTCATAACTTTTATGGACAGAATTTCTCGGTGCAGCCAGGGGGCAGGGAGTTTCCGGTCCGGTGGCCTCAGGATTCCATCTCTGCTCTTTGCAGATGATGTGGTCCTGTTGGTGTCATCGTGCCGTGATCTTCAGCTCTCACTTGAGCAGTACACAGCAGAGTGTGAAGCGGCTGGGATGAGAATCAGCACCTCCAAATCTGAGGCCATGGTCCTCAACCGGAAAAGGGTGGATTGCTCTCCCCAGATTGAGGGTGAGGTTCCGCCTCAAGTGGAGGAGTTCAACTATCTCAGGGTTTTGTTCACGAGTGAGGGAAGAATGGAGCGTGAGATTGACAGACGGATTGGTGCAGCGTCTGCAGTATTGCGGACTCTGTACTGGTCTGTTGTGGTGAAGAGAGAGCTGAGCTGTAAGGCAAAACTCTCTGTTTACCGGTCGGTCTACGTTCCTACCCTCACCCATGGTCACGAGCTCTGGGCAAAAGAATGAAATTGCGGATACAGGCAGTTGAAATGAGTTTTCTCCGCAGGGTAGCTGGACTCTCCCTTAGAGATAGGGTGAGAAGTTTGGTTATCCGGGAGACTCGGAGTAGAACCGCTGCTCCTCTACATCGAGAGGAGCCAGTTGAGATGGGTCGGGCATCTGGTAAGGATGCCCCCTGGACACCTCCCTAAGGAGGTGCTTCGGGCATGTCCGACTGGGAGGAGACCCTGGGGAAGACCCAGGACACGCTGGAGAGACTTGTCCCTCAGTTGGTCTGGTAAGGTCTTGGAATCCTCCTAGAAGAGCTGGAAGAGGTGGCTGTGGAAAGAGATGTCTGAGCTTCCCTGCTCAAGCTGCTGCCCCAGTGACCCGACTTCAGAACAAGCGGAAGATAATGAATGGATGAATAGACTGAGACGCATCTTTGCTATAATTTTGAGCAAACAAATAATTGTTTTTAAGTGTTAATCTTGTTAAATTCTTGTTAAAGTCCTTTGTGCACTCTCCTGCAGCTGCCATTTGGCAGCCCATCTATTTTTGGCACAACAACGGCCCACATTTCCGGGTTGTCAGCGGAGACACGTAAAAAACATGACGCGTCAGCGGTGACGCATAATAAATGCAACGTATACGGCGAAGCGATGCATTTACGGATTTTTCCACTATATTAGACTTATTTGGACTGATGGAACTTATAGGGCGGAGCTACGTGTACGGCAGAAAATAAGATAATGCCAGCACTGTTCTGCTTTTCAGCAATTCTTCAAAAGCAAGAAAAAAATAGCTTTTTCTTGCTTTTTTGCAAGTGTTTTGCTAATTTGCATAGCAGCACAGAAGCACATGCTTGTAGTGATCTTAGTCAGGTTGAGCTCTGTACTGTGGACCATTAAACACAGTTAGATTGGATTAGTTTTAGAATCTGGTAAAGACCTCATAATTATCAAGTCTTGACACATAAAACCCTAGGAGTGAAAGAGGGTGGACATTTTTTTGCCACTCAGCTTAGATCAGAAGAAAACTTACTGAGATAGAGGGGCAGCTGAGAGTTGTTGTGAGCCTCTCTGTAGGCAATGAGGTTGATCTCATTCTGTCGGCGCTGCTGCTGGAAACGCTGCTTGGCCCGCCAGTGCTGACACACACAAAAGCATGTCAGGATAATGATGAGTGCCCACACCAGCCAGAACCCTAAAGACAAACTGGAGTTGGTTACTGAAATTTCTTAAACGCAGCATAATAAACAAACAGGGAGGGACATAATTACTGTATTTTCTGGACTTTAAGTCACACTTTTTTCATAATTTGGCCAGTCCTGTGACGTTTTTTTCCCTATTCATGATACCATTTTTGACCGACTTGTTAAATGTTCATTCATACTGACATGAACCAGAGAGTAAACATTACCATTTACAATCATGAGAGGGCCCTCTAGGCTTTTGACAACTACCGTATTTTCTGGCGTATAAGTCTGTTTTTTGCAAAGATTTGTCAGTCCTGCGACTTACGCAAGTTTTTTTTGGTCCATATTCACAACAAAATTTTTGTCTGATGCTTTAAATTTCGAAGAACTGCAACAGCGAGACGTCCCGTGCATGCTCGCTTCACTCAGCTGGTGCAGGCAGAGGAACGTTGGAGAGCTAGTAGCTCTGGCAGGGATGGATGGAGCCGCCCAGGCGAAATTAAGCTGTTTTAACCATTAAATAAACGCATAATAAATTAGACTTATAAATGTTTTTTCCTCTTCATGATAATAATCCTGTTCAGGATCCCAGTATGTTCTGCGTGGTATTCTTATTTCTGATTAAATGTCTGTTCTTGCACTTTGTGAAATCCACGTCTAAATAAATGCGACTTATACTCTGAAAAATACGGTATTTGAGTTTAAGCTTGCACTTAAGCAAGTTTGCTCATTTATCAAGAAAAAAAAGTACATTTTATAATAGTTCTATTTAATATAGAATGACATAAAAAAAAAAACATAAAACACATTGAGCTGCATGTTTTTGTGTGAAATACGTATTCCATCTCTAATCTTTGGTGATTCTCTCTTTTCCATTTGTGTGGGTCGAGTTGATGCCAAAGAGTTTGATTCTGGTCTCATCTGATCAAAGCACCTTCTCTAAAATGTTGCAGGGAGCTCCAGACAGACAGCGACCGACTGTCATTTTATCATGTCTTTCATGAACAAATAATTGCATCAACATCTGTCCCCCTCTCACCACATGTGTTGCTGATGGTACTGCAGTCCGTTCCAGCCTTCTGCAAGTTTACTATTTTGCCTCTGACATATTTTGACATTCCTTTAGCCTCGCTCATGGTAATAGAGAGGTTGGACAGAAGAACTTGACTCTGTAAACAGGTGGGCTTTAGATACAAGAAAAGATCAAGTGTCTGTATTTGATTGAGTAATTTCATGACTAATCTGTGTGCCACATAATCGAGTCTGTGGGAGATAAAATTCTAGCTGGATTGTAGATTGTTTCATGAAATAATGTGAAATTTGTCATTTTTACCAGTGTTTTTCTTTTTTGTGTGTGTGTGTGTACTGATATTTTTTTCTTTCTCTATTAAAACAAACATTTCATAAAAAGTAGAAACCGTTAGCTTCTTTGTGAGCAAATTTACAAAATGTCCAGGGGATCAAAAAACCTCTCCTCAAGATGATAAGCTGTCATACACCACTTGTTTGTTAATCTTCTACAGTGGGTAAAAAGCCAGTATATAGAGACAGAATGTAAAGGAAGAAGGTGACTCACACCACACTTCATAAAAGTAGGTGCAGCACTGAGCCTCTTTACAGCAATGGCCCGATTCACAGATGTAGCTCTGGTTGTTTACACCCTGGCATACCAGACTGGCCTGTTAATGGGAAGAGAAAAAAAAGAATTACCAGTATGTTATTCACACAATCCTGACAAAGGTTTTAAGACATTACATGCATGAATAAATGCTTTGACTGAGCTTATTATTATTTGGTTAAAACATTTTGTTTTGTCATGTAGCTTTGAAATAAAATGAAATGTGCAGATTAAACATAATGTTCTTTATTTGGATTAGTGTGTCATGGCTTTTGGAAGAAAGTAAGGAAGTAAGGAAGGAAGTAAGGAAGGAAGGAAGCAAGGAAGGAAGTAAGTAAGGAAGTAAGTAAGGAAGTAAGGAAGGAAGGAAGCAAGGAAGGAAGCAAGGAAGCAAGCAAGGAAGGAAGGAAGCAAGGAAGCAAAGAAGGAAGGGAGGAACGAACGCGCGCACACCCAGCCTCCTTCAGATCTCTGTGGTTCAGACATACTGCACAGTAAAAACATCATTCTGGTTAAACAGGTCAAAAAATTATGGATTTTGAATTGATATTTTGATTATGTCTACAGTTTACACAGTCAATTTAAGTTTTATGACTTTTACAATTTTCTCCATGAAATGTTCAAATGATAAGTAATGCTCTCGCGTACTAAATTCTAAATTGTCAAAATGTTTTGAATTGTTTGCTAACAGACTCTTTTTATTCCCCAAACTCTTTTTGGGACATCCAACAAAGTTCAGTCAGGTCCTCTGGACGGTTTCTGTTTGTTGAAACATTTCGTCTTTCATCCAAAGGACTTCATCAGTTTGAGGAGCCACAACAAACTCAGTCTTATAAATACGGTACTCCATCACTACTTCACGGTTCGACTTTCGCAGATTCGCGTTTGATTGTACACGATTGTCAACTTTAATATTACTCACGTGACTGGGACGATATGGGATAAAAAGTTAACCAAAAAAAAAAAACTTCTGACAGGCACCGGCATTTTGTAGTTTTCTTTCAATAAGCCTACACTGTAACGCCAGTCAAAAGAACTGCACTACCCAGCAGCCAACAGTGCTTCCAGTCGCTGCTTTCTGAGGAAATGGAGGGAAAGTTTTGTATCATAAAGTCAGAAGTAACGATCGATCTATGAAACTCACAGAACTGGCAGGAAAGTTGCAAATAATCCTGAAACTTCCTGAAGCTCAATTATCCACGTGCACATCAACCTGGATGGGACGGTGGGCTTCATCGCAGTAGGGTAGGTCTGCAGAACCAGATCCGAGCCCGACTGGAACCAAGTTGTTGCTGAGTATAACAACAATGGAGGGACTACTGTAGCACCATCTCATAGTGGGTCAGCCAGTTAGATGATGCTCAGGCGGTTTCTGTAGTCCGCCCTCTCCCCCACCAACTTCTTCTTTCTTCTTCACTTTCCCCAACAGTTTCTTTAAAGGCTTGTAGGCTTTTGGTGCTTGTTCACCCAATGTGTCGCTCCCCACTACAGAACTTTTGGTTTTCTCTTGAATCCCCGCAGAATGCAGAGAGCGAACACAAAGACTCGTTATATTTCATCTAAAATGTTCTCTTCTAAAGTGAAAGTGGAATCAGTGGAATAGTCTTTTTAACAAGACATATAGTTCACATAAAACACTGTAGAAATATAAATTCACGTATGTGACTAGAGTCTTCCGCTGCTCACGGTTCAGGAATTTTTAGGGTTACTTTTCAGTCTGCATTTTGTCTGCCTCTCAGTAAGCAGTCAGTGAGTGGTTAACATTGTGACCATAATGAGCCACTGGTAGCAGCTTTATCATTTCTTTTGGTCTGGTTTCTCTTTAAACATCTAATGCAGTGCATACATCAAACTGTGAGCTGCTTAGATTACTCCAGAAGTTATGATGAAAATTTCAGCAGTTGCTCTACTCACATCTAATTCAATTCAGTTTATTTATATAGGTCAAGTCACAACAGAAGTCATCTCAGGGCACTGAACAAAAACATTCATATATAAAAATAATAATTTAACATTATTTATCCGAGGAGCAGACTACTTGAGTTTAACTCCATCACAGAACTCTCATCTTGAGGAAGCATGAAGGTGACAGTGGAAAGGAACAACTCCCTCATGAGGAAGAAACTTTTAGCAGAACCAGACTCAGAACAAGTGGTCATCTGCTTCTACTGGCTGGGTTTGGTAGGAACAGATACACAATGGCAGGTCAAGAATCACATGTTAAGATAGAAATAGTATCAGAGGTAAAACTATTCAATTTTAACAATTCATTCAGGGAGATCAGGTCAATTTGTCCTCCAGTAGTCCAAGCCTACAGCAGCATAACAAGCCGACACTAACTATAGGACTGATCAAAAAGGAAAGTCTTAAAACTGGACAATGTGTCGCCTCATGGACAGAAACTGGAAGTTGGTTCCACAAGAGAGGAGCCTGAGAACTGAAAGATCTTCCTCCCATTCTGCTTTTGGAAATTGAACCACAAATAAACCTGCAGTCTGAGCGCGAAGTGCTCTGTTAGGAAAATATGGAACAATACGATCTGTAATATAAGATGGAGCTAGGTTGTTGACGACTTTGTAGGCAAGAAGTAAGATTTTGAATTATATTATGGATTTTAAAAGTCTGAATCTTTTAAAAGATCTTCTGAAATGTTCTAGTTGTTACATTGTTATACACAATTTGTACATTTAATAAAGTGGTTAATGAAAAGTGAGCGTGTCAACAGCAGTCCTGACATTACACGAGTGGACCTTGTTGAATGTAGTTTAATCACGCTGAAACTAATTCATAAACTTGAGAAAGTTGTATTTTAAAGAGTGAAGTAAAACAAAAGCTTAGAACAATGAGTAAATATGTACAAGACAGTGTCACTAAAACGTAACCATCACCATCGAGGCTACTTTGTCTGAAGTTCCTTGGGAACTTGTTAAAGGTGCCGGGCTCACGGTTCTTACCTGGACTGTGGCCGCCGTCGCCGGGTTCTGTTGTCCAGCCTTCAGTGAGTCCATGGCCAAAACGATCATATATTCAGCTGTTTTTATGGCAATGAAGTGAAACTGGCTGAGGCATATTAACAAAACTCAGGCCTTTGAGGAAACAAAAACAAGTCCTTCGCTTCCTCTTTCCTTTCTTCTTTTAGTGTGACGACGGTTTGCATCTGCCATAAAGTGTTACTGCCACCTGGTGGCCGGAAGTGACGCCGCAGGACGTGAGGATGACCACAGACATGGAGCAGCAGCTATCAATCAACCTTTATTTAGACAGTTAAATCCCATTGAGCCTCGAGGACTCATTTACAAGAGAGACCTGATTTCAACAAAGAAAGATGACAACAATGGACAACAGCAACAACAATAAACAGTTATAAGAGTTATAAAGAGCTATGGGCTCTTTAACCCCACAAATTCTGTATTTCTAATAAATCCAAAGAAGTACACTTTAAAATTTTACATAATATATATCCCGTGAACTGTATAATTGCTAAATTCACAGATATTAATGACTCTTGGACTTTTTGTAAAACAAACAGAAACGACACTGCATTTATTTTTTAGTTGTGACATATCCAACACATTTTGGACGGACCTTGAGCGTGTTCGTTAAATCTCCAAAATATTATTTGCTACTACAGTGATTCTGAAAATTGTAAATTTGAACATATACTTAATTATATCATTTTCTATGCAAAATTTTTCATCCACAAACAAAAATTTGCAAACTTGATACCACACATCAACGATCAGTTGGGGGGTTCATAGCGACCTCACAACTTGTTTTCTCTAACCTCTGTGCCACCACTCCCCCAAAGTTTATGTTAAAAAGTTTTAAGAGTTGTGGTAATTGTGGAAAAAATGTTTTGACGTGACCAAGTGTCATAAACTAAATTAAGAAATGAGAGGGAGGGAAAATAAATAAAAGCTAAGCATTCCTTCGAGGAATGTATATTGACCACTACCCTCCATGCCAGCATTTTAAACTAAGATCATACTGACTCTCAGAGACCAACACATCAAATTATTGTTCCATCCATCCATCCATCCATCCATCCATCCATCATCTTTACCCACTTTTTCCTTTTCAGGTCACGGGGTCACGGATGCCCATATCCAGCATCACTGTGTGAGACCTGCTTGCTGCGATGTGGCAGTTCTACCATCTGTGCCACCAAATTGTTGCTCATTGTCTGTAAAATTTATAGATCCTATGTTTTCCTGTGTCAGACATTTTAAATTGGGTTGACTCCAAAAATGAATCAGTTGTAGATGTATATCCAGTGAATACTTCCTGAAAGATTCATTAAATCCAATATCCTATGAGAAATTGTGCTAACAAACAGAATTTACTCCAACTGTCAATGGTAAAAGTTTAAACAAAATCTTGCATAATTTATTAGTTCTTGGAAAATGCACTTGTAATTAGGCTTAGCTAGGGGCAGCTATGGCTGAGTGGCTAGAGCAGTTGTCCTTCAATGCAAGAGTTGGGGGTTCAATTCCACCAGCAGTCACATGCCGAAGTGTCCCTGGGCAAGACACTCAACCCTCATTGCCTCTGTTGTGTGTCCCATCGGTGTATGAATGTGATAAAGCTCTGATTACTCTTTGTATAGATCTAGTAGAGTGTTGTATGAATAGATAAATGAGGCACAGCTTGTTGTAAAGAGCTTTGAGTTTCTTGATCAGATAGGTGATATACAGTTCATTTACCATTTACTACTACACTGAATGTAATCTCTCTAAAATCGTTGGAGTTATAGTCATTTTTATTCTAATTATTTTATTCTTAGGGCAGCACGGTGGTGCAACTGGTAGAGCTGCTGCCTCTCAGCGAGCAGGTCCCTGGTTCCAATCCCAGTCCAGGGGCCTTTCTGGGTGCAGTTTGCATGTTCTCTCCGTGCATGCATGGGTTTTCTCCAGGTACTCCGGTTTCCTCCCACAGAAACAGACACAGGTAACTCTAAATTGTCCCTAGGTGTGAGTGAGAGAGTGAATGGTTGTTTGTCTCGTTTGTCTCTATGTGTCCCTGTGATGGACTTGCGACCCGTCCAGGGTGTACCCTGCCCCTCGCACAGTGATTGCTGGACATGGGCACCAGCGACCCCCGTGACCCAAAATGGAATAAACGGGTAAAGAAAATGGATGGATGGATGGATTTTATTCTTATTCATTCTGTTTGATCAGCTGTGGCGACCATTTTCAATGGGGATGACTCAAAAAAAAAAATTAAGTGTAGATGGGAAATCCATTTAGTGGTTTGTGAGATATTTTAACACAGGTAAATACACACAGCCCCCCACCTTTCAGTGGTAGTTGATAATACACATTAACTGATGTAACATTATCACTGACCTTAACGCTCGTTTTCACTGTGTGTAGCATGTATAGTTAAAATAAAATCTGTACTGGCAGGAAAAAAAAGACAACCCCCACCCTTCCAATCTGTCAGTCTCCGTGATGGGTAGTGTGTGTTTTAACTGTTTGCTCCTTTGAACCCTTCAGACCAGTTTTAGGGAACAAAAGCAAACAAGTGATATTGTCCCGGGAGGAATTCTGCCTTGTTCACTGTCTTTCATGACCTCCTTTTAGGCACCTTTTGCCTCTTCATTCATGGTCCTCCAAGAAAGTCAGCGGTTCCTTACATCTTAGTTTGGCAAATCAGGAGGATACATGCTAATCCCCTTAATCTGGCCTTTCTCCTGCATGCAGCCACAGGGAGAGAGGGACCACAAAGAGTAATCCTGTCAGAAAAACAATAGGATTAGGGGCCAACCCAGCAAGTGACAATCAGGTATCCACTGACTGATCTGCCAAGCAGGAGACCCTCTGCAAAGCCCCGTCCACTCTGTCTTTGCTGGAGACTAGTTTTGTTTGACGGGCCTGAGAGGGACGGGGCTGAAGGTTGTGACAGGAGGAAGATTTATGTGACGGACTGCTGGAGGTCTGACAAGTCTGAGGTCCTCTAAGCACCAGGGACCAAGGAATGACTGACATGTCAGGAGTAGGCACGAGGTGGAGGTTTGGTAAAGAATCGTGAGAAATGTGTGTCCGGTGGTGTGGGCTGGAGGAAAACACACAACCAGGGAATGTGATCAGTAACCATGGCCAGGTAAGGACTTACCTGGCTACATGTTCACATCTTTCATGTTGATTAGAGTACACGGCAGCTAAATATACACAGATTCATACATTTTGGTTTATTGAAAAGTTCACATATATAAGGGATAAATATTATAATACAATGCAAAATAATACTGATTTAAAATCAAAAGGGGGGTAGAAATTTTAAGAAGCAGCTGCTGTTTGTTAGTCAAGATTAAGTGAAAAATATAATCTGCACAAATTAATACAACGCTAATTTATGGTAGAAAACACAATGCTACCTGACTTTTAAGTTATCCTTCCAATTCTTGCATGACCTTCAGTTTCTCTCCACGAGATGGCCCTATTGATACAAATATGGTCTCAGGACTCTCACAATTTGAGAACCAGTCATAGTTCCAATGAAGATTTTGTCTTTGAGCTGACAAAAAATAAATTATTAATTTAACTGTTTATAAATTCAAATGAGCATTTTTGTGCAACTGTTTCTACTAGAAGTCAATGGTGAAGCCATTGGTGAAGTCTGCCAAAGAAAACAGTAGTTTTACTTTAAAATCTCCTCATGCTACTGTGATGAACTTGAGTAAAGGATAAATTTGAAGTTAACAGTTGCATTAACAATAGTGAGTTGTAGGACAAAAGATTCTCACATGAAAGGTGAGCATTGTGGTTCTGCTTGGGTCATTATCTTAGTGCTCCTATCTGCAGAGGGACGGACATCAGAAGAAACCCAGTTAATTTTGTCACGTTTTGTAGATTCCAGGTTCCATAACAGCTGATCATCTCATGGGTGTGGGTGCTTTTTTAAGCTGTAGTGATATGTAGGTCAGTGTTTAGTGTCTAAACCAACAGAGAAATTTTCCTTTTCAAGTATGAGCCTTGGCAAAGTAAAAAAACAAAACAGCCAAGTAAACATGAAAACAGATATCTTTACAAACTCAGAAGCAGTATTACACAAAACCACTTTGAAGGATTACAAGTAAATCCAGATGCTTTCCATCAAAGGAAAATTGGATTTCCCTAAATTTAAGGTACAATCAGCTGAAATGGGCTTCATGTGCAGAGTGGCAGTCTTAGAGATAAGGAGGAGCTCCATCATCAGAGGTGGAACTTGGACTAGAGCTGCTGCTACTCCTCATTCAAAATATATCAATTAAAATACTTCATATGTTCGGCATCTGATTACAATGCTTCCTGGACACCTTCTTCGGAGGGTTTACAGTCACATTGCACTAAGAGGAGACCCCAGGGCACACCCAATATTCAGTACAGGGATTGTGTGTCCTGTCTGACCTAGAAACAACTTGAGATCTTCGAGAGAAAGATGGTTTGTTGCTAAGGTGATGAATGCCTTGGTTTCCCTCCTTGGCAAATCACATTGCCTCCGTGATTTGGCCAGAGATCCGCATCATTTATGGATGGATGGATGGATGGACAGACAACCAAACTGCAAACTTGATCTGGATTGCTGATCAGGCTTATTTCCAGGTATGGACATACATTATAGGCCCATCCAAGAAGTTAAGGGTCTCTGATTTGAGAATCTTCTGATTGCAGCACATCATTTTGCAGATGATGTGGTCCTATTGGCCTCACTGAGCAAACCTTCATCAGGCACTGGAGCAGTTTGTGTGAAGCAGCTGGGACAAAAATGTATATCTCCAAGCCTGTCCTTAACTGGAAAATGGTGAATTGCCAGCTTCAGTTTGGGAGTGAATCACTGCCCTAAGTGGGATTTAAGTAATTTTGGGTCTTGTTCATGAGTTGGGGTAGAACCAAGCAGGGTAGAATGAGGTGGTGTCTGTAGTGATGCTAGAACTGTGAAAAAAGAGCTGAGCTGAAACTTTCAGTTTGACTGAAAGGTTCATGCTCTCTCAAGTACAAGCAGCTGAAATTAGCTTAGCACAAACTCAGTTCTTAAGAGAGGGACAGAGTATTCACCACTTCTCTGCAGTGAAAAAAGCCAGCCGAAGAGGTTTGAGGAGAGACAGAAACACCTTCCTTCTTTGTAGGGACACTTGCTCTTGTCAAGGGCTGATGTCTTCT